GTAGTGCACTCGCTTGGCATGTGTGGGGCACTGGGTTCCAATCTCAGCACCATGTATAAATAAATAAAATAAAGATCTATCAGCAACTAAGAAAAAAAAATAAAAATAAAAAGGATTGGGAATGTAGCTCAGAGGTAAAGTGCTCCTGGGTTCAAACCCCAGTACCAAGAAAAGAATTTTTGTAAGAGATGGTTTGGAAACTTACAAAGAAACAATAACAACTGCTACACCATCATTCTTAAAAAGGTCTTATCTTTGCTAAATTGCTATTGTAACCAAATAACATAAAAAAAAAAAAAAAAGTGGAATCACAGGGCTCTTCTAAATTCATTGCTGGAGGCATGAGTGTCCAAGCTTGCTTTAATCTTATGCCCTAAAGCACTTCCCTAAAAATACCTACTCTTAAACCAGAAAACAGTATCTAATTTATAGAAAGGACCATTTAGAGAACATACTACACATACTTGGAGTTTCACTCTGAAAACTGTGACACTTCTTACCATAATAAATATCGAATCAAGATTTAATTGAAGCACTTATCCTTACTTAGTGATTCATGAAATAATGCTGCACCTCACAATTGTATGGCATTCGGTTTTAACAGTACTGGCACTACGTTAGCTGTTAGGTCCGCAAGCTTTTTGGACTTAAGAGCTGTAATATGAAAACAACAATTTAAAAAGGTTAGTACTAAAACTAGTTTTGGGAGTCAATTGCTGGTCAAGGGGAAGAGGAGTAGTGAAGAATCAGGGCAACACGTTCCCTTTCCAACTGCGGGGACTCAAGCATTCCATGCCCTAGGACAAAGCACCCGCGACCCAGACAACGCGCTCCGAACCTCGCGGTCGGCAGCCGCTAGTACCCCGTCGCCGCGCCATGGAGGTTAGACACTGATGTCATCAGCCAGCTCCCAGGAATCGCAGGGTCTCTGTCACAGTTCCGCCCCACGCAGCGCGCCGGCGCCGAGACGACCAGGCGCGCGCGGGAAGACACGCTCTGCTATATTTGCATATCGCTGTGTGTTGTGGGTAGTTACCATGACCGAGAAATGGCTGTACAGATGGGAGCCTTATAAACTCTGCTTGTGCGGAGTCCCTTTCATAGGGCGGAGGGAAGCTCATCAGTGGGGCTACGAACTGAGTGCGTTGCGTCACTCTACCCCATGTCCCTTGGGAAGGTCTGAGACTAGGGCCAAATAGCGGCCCTAACAGGGCCCTCCCTGAACCGCGGGGAGGTGAGTTCCCAGAGAACGGGGCTCCGCGCGAGGGCAGACTGGGCAGGAGATGCCGAGGACCTCACCCTCGGGGTGGGGCCCGGCGGATGCCTCCTTAGCCGGAGCTTGGAACAGACTCACGGCCAGCCAAGTGAGTTCAATGGCTGAGGTGAGGTACCCCCGCAAACGGGGACCTCATAACCTAATTCAGACTACTCTCCCCCGTCCTCTTTTCTTTTAAAGAGGGCGGG